AAAATTTTAGAACTTTTAATTAAAATTCGTAAATACTAGATGCTTATTCTAGTATTTGCAGGTAAATAGTAATCTGATTCTAGTATCTGGGGTAAAGAGCCAGTAATGGGGAGAAAAAAATTGAAGTAGAAGGAGAGAAAAGATCATTGCTACTTTGGTAGGTTTGGGATTTCCTGGAAAAAATTCTTGAAACTCTTACCTTAACAAAACACAATCTCCACACTGATTTTCACAGTGGTTGCACCAGTCTGCACTCCCACTAACAGTGGAAAAAGGTTCCTTTTTTCCCTACAGCCCCTCCAGCATTTGTTATTGGTTGATTTCTTGATAGCACCCATTTTTTCTGAAGTGAGATGGAATCTCAGCACTGTTTTAATTTGCATTTCACAAATGACCAGTGATGTTGAACATTTTTTCATATGTTTATTTGCTGTTTCTACTTTGTCTGAGAAATGTCTATTCATTTCAGATGCCCATTTTTGGATTGGGACTTTAAATTTGGGGAGTTTGATTTTTTTTCTTTTTTGAGTTCTTTATATATTCTAGATACTAGTCCTTTGAGGAACAGGTGGTAGAATTTTTTCTCCCACATTGTGGGTTTTCTCCACTCTGTTGGTGGTTTGTCTTGCTGTGCAAAAGCTTTTTAATAGGATGAGATCCTAGTTGTTGATTCCTTTTTTTTTGGTACTGGGGATTGAACCCCAAGGCAGGGGGTGGCACCACTAAGCTCAATCCCTGGCCCCCAGTTGTTGATTCTTTGTGGTAGTTCCCATTGACTGAAGTTTTGTTCATAAAGTCTTTTCCTACCTCAGTGTCTTCAAGAGTTTTACCTAATCTATCTTCCAGCAGGTTTAGCGTTTCTGTTTTAATACTTAGATCTTTGATCCATTTTAATTTTAGTTTAGTGCATGGTGAAAGATAGGGGTCTAGTTTTAATCTTTGGCAAGTTGAAGCCCAGTTTTTCCAGTACCATTTATTAAAGAGACTATCTTTCCTCCATTTGAGGGTATTTGGCTCCTTTGTCAAAGATGAGGTAGCTGAGAGTGTTCGGAGTTTTTTCACTTTTTCTAATCTATTCCACTGACCCTTGGGTCTGTTTCTTTGCCATTGTGATGCTGTTTTATCACAGTAGCCCTGTAGTGGAGTTTCAAGTTGGGGATTATGATATCCCCTGCTTTGCCTTTGTTGCCTAGGATTGCCTCTGCTATTCTAGGTCTCTTTTGGTTCCAAATGAATCATTTGGAGATTCCTCAGAAAATTAAAACTAGAGGTCTCCATTTGACCCGGCTGTTCCTCTTTTTGGTATCTTCCAAAAAGAATTAAAAGCATCATACCACAGTGATACATGTACACCCATGTTTACAGCAGCACAGTTTGTAGTAGCTAAATCTTGGTAACAGCTCAAATGCCCATCAACTGGTGATTAGATAAAGAAGATACGCTTTTTTTAATATATGTAAAATGGAGTACTGCTCAGCCGTAAACAAAGATAAACTAGAGACATTTATAGCTAAATGGATGCACTTTGAGACCATAAAGTGAAATAAATAGGACACATGTGAACACCGAATTGTTTTTCTGGTGTGAGAAACTGAAAGTGTAAACGAGAACCAAAATGTATAATAAATGTTGTGAAACAGGAAGAAAATGTTCAAAGGGGAAGGAGAACTAGGGAGAGGGGACAGGGGAAAGGAAGGAAGGAAAAAAAATGAGAAAAGAAGGAAAAAATGAAAACAAAGCTTTTGTAAATAGGGACGGTTGTAGAGGGGTTGAAGGGAGGGAAGGGGAAAAAATAAGAACCAAGATATATCATGTACAGGTACAAATTTACAGTGATGAATGTGATCATAATGTAGACCTAAAATGTATATGAACTTAATGAGTTTTTAAAAACCCCACAGTTATATGCTAAGGAGTGTTATATATTCAATTTCATTTAGTTTACAGAAAAGCGAAGGGAACTGAAGTCTGATGGTCGTTTAGATAAGGAACTTTCAGAATCCTATGCATTTCTCATGGTTGATCGGTATCAGGTGAGTTGACTCTACAAAAATTGGAGGATGTTTCCATTGAAACTTTTTTTTTCTTTTTCGTTTTTGTGGTATTAGGGGTGAAACTCAGGGCCTTCACATCAGATGAGCAATGTAACACTCTGCTACATCCCCAACGCTTTTTTTCTTTAATTTTATTTTGAGACAGTGTCTTGGTACATTACGCAGGCTGCCCTTGTGATCCTTTTGCCTCCGCCCCTTAACTGCTAGGGTTACAGGGATGCATCGTTACACCAGCACAGTACACCTACAGGTCTTTTTTTTTTTTTTTTTTTGAGCTAGGGTTCCCTAACTTGCCCAGGCTGGCCTTGAACTTGAAATCTGCCTCACTCAGGCTCCAAAGTAGCTGAGATTGTGTCTGTAGGTGCCACTGCACTGGCTACATTTTTCTTGATATAAGTAGAGAAAGTGATTTTTAAAGGGTAGAAGTATTAATTGTTTTGTAATTTTTTTTTTAGATATACTTTCACTTTTCCCCTACCATTCTTGTTTTCTTCCCTTGGAAAGTGCTTGATAATGTACTTCCCTTTGTTAAAAAGATTATCTTGTTGGGCCAGGGATTTAGCTTAGTGGTTTGGCTGCCTGCTGCACAAGCACAAGGACACAAGTTCGATCCCCGGTACCAAAAAAAAAAAAAAAAAAGGTTATCTTGTTGATTATATGTTCTTGGAACCATTTTTTTCTCTTTTAATTAAAGATGTTTAGGTGGAGCTGCTACTTCTTTGTTTTTTGCTGGTTTTAATTCTAAAAGAGGATGGTTATGTTTGTGAGAGGCAAGAATTTGATATCTCATACCTAGTGTAAATATAGATTCCAGATGTGATTTGAAAGTGTCAGTTTCACATTGATATTTAGGGATAAATTGATATATATATACATGTATATGCTGGAAATTTCTGTAATGTAGAATGTATATAGCTTAGAAGTTTAGATTTTATTTAAAACAAGCTTATAAATTACTTTTTTACATTTTTAATATTACTGTGATTGCAAGATGAAGTGTTTCGTTTTTTAGGTTCAAAACATATGTGAAAAAGGATTGCAGGTGGGCCAGTCCAAAATAACAATTCTCGGCAGTCCTTCCATGGGTAATTTATTTTCTTTTT